AAGGTGACCTGTTGAACCAAGTACTTCTAAATGAGAGTATACAGTAACAGGTAAAAAAAAAAACAAGCCGTTTAAATTTCCACTTGGCAGGGTATTAAGGACGGGCCTTGTTATTCTAGCCCACTTGAACTGCAAACCTTTATGGACTCAGATCACAAACCAGCAAAAACACTGGCGCAGGTCTTCAGGATGTGAAAGCCATCTGACGGCTGAAAGGGAATGGCCTGATGACTTGTGGAAAGGAAAACATGGGTCTTGAAACAAAAAAAATGTAAATATACATTGAAAGATAAAGAAAGCCATGTGTTTATTTTCTTACACTTTAAACAGTAATCCTCAAACAGCCATCCTGTTTATTGCTTCAAAACAGTAACAAATGTCATTGGCATAATAAACTACAGTGTGAGACTATGCTGCCATAATGTTAACATAGGTGGTGTGCAGTTCAGTATGTGGTTATTTGACAGCTGTGGCTAAAAAGGCTGAGTGTTTTATGTTAGTCATAAAAAGGTTCAGAATGTAGAAAATAATTCACTGCTTTCAGTTAAAACAGAAATAATCCAAATGTATGATTATAAGTGGTAGCTGCCTTGGTGGCATGCATCCATGGTACCCAATCTGGTTTATGCAAGTTTATCTGGAAGATATGACCACTGCCCAATCATATTATAGAACATGGCATTAATGTGCAAAATTGCCTAGGCCAAGAGTGGATAAACACTAGGGATGCACCGATGCCATTTTTTTTTCCAGACCGGGTAACAATACTTTTCCTCAAGTATTTGCCCATACCAGTTACCCATACCTTTTTTTTTTTTTGTATTCTAAAACAATACATTGTTTTCTGTAAAAAAAAAAATGGGAGATCTGGTCATCTAACCAGCTTTCTCAATTCAGAATTCTGAATTGAGAAAGCTGGTTGGATGACCAGTGAAACGTCTTTAAGAAAAATACAGCAAGTCCAGTTGCCCTGACTTATTTTTTTTACAGATATACCATGACCTGGAGGAATGAGAACCTTCACAGAAATACAGACTAATGATTTTAGCACAGTGGTGAAGCGCCAGGGCCCAGTCGCATCTGCAACTTCTGCGCCCCTGGTAGTTCTGCCACTGACTCCAAGCTGTAGAGGGACTACAAATCCCAGAAATACATTATACAGCAATGCAGAATAATATGAAGCTACATACTCTGTTGTTTTCCAAGGCTGTGTGGCGTCTCAGGAGGCTGGGTCTGACCAGGGATGTACTCGGTTTCACTAGGGCAGATCAGGATCTCAGGAGGATGTGTGCGGTCTCGCCAGGGCTGTGTGCGGTCTCGCCAGGGCTGTGTGCGGGTCTCACTAGGGCTGTGCAGTCTTACCAGGCTGTGGGCAGTCTCACCAGGGCTGTATGGTCCCACCAGGGCCGCATGCAGGTCTAATCAGGGCTGTGTGTGGCATCTCCCTAGGGCTGCATTCGGTTCTCACCATGGCTGTGCCGGGTCTCACAAGGGCTCTGCGGGTGGCAGGAAGGAGGAGGTGGCAATGTATAGCCGGACTGACGCTATAAAGGACAGCCACCACAAGGTCCCCAGCAAGCACAGAACCATACGGCAGCCGCTTCTGTTTAAAAATGTAAAGGACCAGTATTGGCCTTTAGAATCGGGGCATTTTCATGAGTATGAGTACTTGTGAAAATGCCCAGTATCGGTCTTGGTGCATCCCTAGTAAACACTCTTATTGCTAGCTTTATTTCAGGGGTAAAAGTAGTAATAGAATGGAAAAACCTATCACGACCAAACCATACCATACATTGACTGAGATCTGTCCTTCTGAAAGTGTATGGTAATCTACACACAAAGTCATATTCTGATCCAATGTTATTGGCTAGATCAGCTGACCATCTTCCTATGCCTATGGGTACCAAAAAGCTGGACATACTCATGAAGATCTTTTGCAGAGAAAGGCAACAGTTGCTATGCAGTCATTCTACACTGCTGTAAATGTAATTTAGCTTCTAATTTGTTCTTTTGTGGTATATACCGTGTTTCCCCGAAAATAAGGATATATTACAGAAATCCCTGAAGATAGTGCTAGGTCTTATTTTCGGGGTAGGTCTTACTTTCGGGGAAACACGGTATATACACTGATCAGCCATAACATTATGACCACTGAGAGAAGTGAATAACATTGATTATCTCATTACAATGACACCTGGAAGTGGTTGGGATATATTTGGTGGTAAATTAACATTTTGTCCCTCAAGTTGATGTGTTGGAAGCAGAAACAAAATGGTCAACTGTAAGGATTTGAGCGACTTTCATAAGGGCCAAATTATGATGTCTTGACGACTGGGTAAGAGCAACTCCAAAACTGCTGCTCTTGTGGGGATATTCCTGGTCTGCACTGGTCAAGAGTTCGGGGGGTTGACTTGGCCTCCAAATTCTCCAGATCGCCGTCCAATAGAGCATCTGATGTGTTGGAAAAACAAGTCGATCCATGGAGGTTCCACCTCTCAACTTAAAGGATCTGCTACTGATGGCTTGGTGTCAGATGCTACAGCATACCTTCAGAGATCTAGTGGAGTCCATGCCTCAATGGGTCAGGGCTGTTTTGCCAGGAAAAGGTGGTCCTACTCAATATTAGATGGATGTACATAATGTTATGGCTGACCAGTGTAAGGACTAAACACTTTATTATCCACATCTGTGTTAATAAAGTGTTCACTATCACAATGGTGGAAAATCCTACACAGTTTGATTAGCACAAGACATGTTTTTATAGGGGTCAGTTTTTGTTTTGATGTCTCTCAGCGACAGTGAGAAATTGATCCATGCCAAGATAAGGAACGGGTAGCTTCCTGCATCAAAATGAGTAGAGAGAACACTGGGGTAAAAAATGTGCACAAAAATTCACACCAGCACTGTTATATATTTGTGTAGCAGTGAGTTTGCCAGAGACATCATTCTGAAAATAAATTATCTTATCTTACAATATACAATGTAATAAATATTTTAATTATAATGACATAAAATACATAATATTTTTGAATCGTTTTTCTTTATAATATTAACTGGGTCCATGGGCAAAATTCGAGTTAGTCCACACAATACTGGTATTTTGGTTACGAATAGCTGTTGGAGGGTTGAATCATTCACTGGGTTCTCTTATCTTTTTTTTGAGTCTCCTTGTAGGGTTGCTTATCTTGTAGCAGTAGGGGTATTTTTAGTGCAATGTTCACAATGTAATGTGAATTAAATAGCCAATAGAAGAACCACTGTAAGGAATCTGCTCCTTTCCAATGGCCATGGCATATTGGTGGACCTTAGAGGTAGAGATCACTCCCAAGGTTTCCAGTACATATGTATGAAACTGGTGGTTGATTCAACTCTCCAAGTATTTTCTGATAGCACTGATTTTAATATAATTTGATAATAATACACAGTGGTATTGTAAATGTTTTTTTTTTCTTTTTTAAATTAAAATGGGGTTAATGCAAAGTAAAATGCATATGAATAAATCCACTTACCACTTAAAACCTCCTTGCTGGGTGGAGTGGCTAGCAAATACACTATAATGTTTTTTTTAAACTTGTATTTGTAGTACCAAACTCCTGATATTACTACCACATTCTGAACCAAGAAGAATACAGTAGCCTTTTCCCAAACGTAGGCTCCATTCACACCCGCACGGTTTTCCATGTGGAAGACTGATCAGGATGAAAATGCTGATATTTTCAATCTGCACGGATGCTGCTTGTTTGCGGCTATTAATCAGCCGGATTATCGCGATTGTACTATTTTGGGGGTGTGCGGTTTCATACTGCGTGTTCCCCGCAATGGTCTGAACGATGCACATTAAAGTGCATTGTATTCTCTGTTTAGAGCGGCTCTGCGCGTATCCGAGCAGCTGAATACGCGCAGAGCCACTCTAAACAGAGAATACAATGCAGATAATTGCGGGGACCGTGCAGTACGAAACCGTGCGCCCCCGAATTAGTACAATTGTGATAATCCGGTGGATTTTGCACATTCTCGGCTATTTAATAACCACAAACAAGCAGCATGTGGAAAACCATGCGGGAAATGCAAACACTATGGGGGTTATTCTCTAAAGGCCCGAAGGATCCAGCCGTAGCTTTGGCTGATGCTTCGGCTCCATGTGAATGGAGCCTAAGAATGCCCCCATTGATTACAAAGAAGAATTCATGGGGAGAGGAACAACTTTTTTCTCTTATGAGGCAGCAATTTGGCATATTTACTATGTTATTATCACACTACATTAAATTCAATGCCAACTGCTTTTCGCAGAAAATAAAAAATTGAGCTGAAATTAACCAATCAGTTTTAATGTTTCATTCGGTGGAAAATGAAACAAATTATTTTACCGATTGGTCTAGTTAACATCTATTTTTTACTCTAGTCTAAATCCGTCAGCTCCTGGATTTTTAGTGTTTAGCATAATGACATTTTATGGAAATATAGCTCTTGGGTGTGTACTTATTTGGGCTAATTTACTAAAGGCAAATAGGCTGTTTACTTTGCAGAAGTTTCCTTAGCTTATTAAATGAGGTAAAACTCTACCAACTTCAATGATCCAGTCATGTACAAGCAAAAATACTGTTTTCTTTGAACATGATTGTGTATTGTTTGCAAACTGAATTCTCACCACATTTACTAAACTAAGGGAAAATTCCCTTACAAAGTGAATATCCTATTTGCCTTTAGTAAATCAATTTCATTCAGTTTGCCAGTGGAGCGACAGAGATTCGAAGCTATGACCGCTATAGTCGATCCTGCTGAGATATAAGGTGTGCTGGGACAAATACTTAATACCAGAACATTCTAGCTCTAGAAAGTAATCATGACAATGCCACTATAGTGAATGAATGTCATAGTGCCAACAAGACGTTCTCTTGACTTGCGGTCTAGACTCGATATTTTGTGGTTTATCAAACAACCTTTCAGTCTTTTGTACAATTCCAGTATTTAGTATATTTAACCATCACCAACTGTAGCTTTTTTCAAAGATTGGCAATTATCTGTACAGTATTAGACCAGTAAGTTGCATAAACATGCTTAGTATTTCCTTTAGTGCAAATCCCCATCTCAACTCTTGATCAGTGGCATCCACAAGATTTAACCACCATGTTTCGATGCTTTTTTAGGATCACATTGTTGTTATTGTCGTAGTAAAGCACTGAGGTGGCTGAGAGCTTTGTTGGAGCGCAGCAAGCTTTAGGAACACTTTCTGGCTTCATAAGGTGAACCTGGCAAGGAAAATATCAGTTACTGCCAAATACTCTTTATTTATTTACTATAACTATAGTGAAACAAAGCATAAACAAATAGAGCAGATATTGACGTATTTAAGAAAACCACGCAGAAACAAACTATTGAAAAAAATACATATAAAAGAGCGATTCTTCATAGTAAAGGGTTCAGTACGGTAGTTAGAATATTTTCAGCTCATTCTTGAATGTTTTGTTTGGCAGGTTTCGTGGTAGTTTACTTTGGATTCCTTATTACATCTTCTTTCACAGCTTGCCTTGAGTGCTACTCGGTGAAATGCCTAAGGGATGGCTGCATGTCTGTGGATCAGTGTCAGGGATACATGCCGACTCGTCTTTTGTTGGTTAATGACTTGATAATATGATCAACTTCCTAACTTGAGTACAGTGAGATCACCAATCTGTACAATAAAGATACAATATTCTAAGATGGGTAGTTCTTACTTTTACATCTAATTACCCCAACAAAAAGTAAATACTATACTGGTGGAGCTGTTCTAGTGCATCATTCTTTTTTTTTTTCATTTTATCATGTCCAAGTGGTAACACTAAGCTGTATCTAGGCAGCTGCTAAATGTATTTCAGTGCATGGAACCAGATAAATATGAGATTAGGATTTTTAGAGCTGCAACTACATAGGAAATTGATCCCAGGAGAATTAGCCATGAAATTAGTATAATTCCAATGACTGCAGCAGTAATAATAGGGAAGTGGCTTGAGTAGCTGTTTAAACAAACAAGGCCACATAAAAAGTTCACTGGACTAAACAGGATATTATTTATACAAATCCAAAATACAACCGCAATTCCAAAAAAGTTGGAACCCTGTGTAAAATCTACATTAAAACAGAATGCAATGCTTTGCAATCTCATAAACCCAGATTTTATTCGCAATAGAAAATAGAAAACATATTAAAGATTTAAAGTGAGAAAATGTTCCATTTTAAGAAAAAAAAAAGGTAATAGTGAAACTGATGGCAGCAACACGTCTCACAAAAGTTGGGACAGGGCAACAAAAAGCTGTCTAAATATTGATGAACAATTTCAGAATAATGTTCCTCAATGCAAAATTGCAAAGACTTTAAATATATTATCAAAAGATTCAGAGAATCTGGAGAATTCTCTGTGTGCAAGGGACAAGGCCGAAACGCAATATGACAACAGCGTGGCTTCGTAGTAGAAAAGTCCGGGTGCTTAATTGGCCTGCCTGCAGTCCAGACCTTTTACCAATTGAAAATATTTGGCGCATCTTGAAACAAAAAATACGACAAACACCCAGGACTGTAAAGCAGTTAGAATCCTATATCAGGCAAAAATGGGACAACATTCCTCTCCCCAAACTCCAGCAACTGGTCTCCTCAGTTCCCAAACATTTATAGAGTGTTGTTTAAAGAAGAGGGGATGCCACACCATGGTAAACATGGCCCTGCCCCAACTTTGTTGACGTGTGTTGCTGCCATCAATTTCATAATTACCTTATTTATTTTCTTAAAATGGTAATTTTTTTCAGTTTAATCATTTGATGTGTTTCTATTATGAATAAAATATGGGTTTATTAGATTTGCAAATCATTGAATTCTGTCCTTATGTAGATGTTACACAGCATCCCAACTTTTTTGGAATTGGGGTTGTAGGTATAGAAGCACTCATAGGTCTTGCAGCGGAGATAAACAATATGTTGACAATAAAATGCTGTTGCTTTGACTTATCTCCACTGACAGACCTGCGAGTGCTTCTATACCTATCTGGGATTTTATGGATGTTTCTTTGATGATGAGCAGTGGGGCCTTTAGGTAACAAATAGAGTGTGGTGATTAGCCTTGGGGTTGTGTAGTGGATATTGTTTATATGTGGAGGCATAGCTAACTGTCCACACCCCAGTGAAAATTCTCAGCATGTTATCCCTACATCTAAGGCAAAAAGTTATTTAAAGCTCTGGTCAGAAAAAGCTTTAAAAGAGAACTATGGGATAAGTGTTTTTCCCCATAGTTCTCTTAAGGGTCACGGGCGGACATATACTAGTGTCCTCCATGACCCAAAGCTCAGTTTATCATGAGCTACAGCTCACGGTATACCGAGACCGCGGCAGCATTACTGTCGAGATCCACCCAGCTGCGTGAGTGTCAGCTCGCTCTGCCTGTCTAGAGGCAGAGCCAGCTATACCCGCCCCCTCCCCCGTCCGTTCCTCCAGTCAGCGCTGAAGGATCGCTCTCTGCAGGGAGATGATCGAGAAGTGAGCGAGCGACAGTATGTGTTGTTTTTAAGTATATGTTTTCATCAGCATTATGTTTTGTGTGATTTTTTTTTTTGTGTTTACATTTTCTGTAAAAAAAATATATGTTTATTTTAGTAAGCTGTTGAATGTTTCTAAATTTGTTGTCATCCACTGGATTATCCCCTACAGGAGCACTATCTATTTATTGAAGGTTTATTCCTACATACCCATTAAAGTTTATGTATAGCCCAAGTTTTTTTTAGTTTGCCCCTTTTTTTCTGGAGACAACTCTAAAATTTTGGATTTCCTCTCACTTCCTCTCACAGTACTAATAGCGTGGTGCATCTCCTGAATGGGGATACAGAGAGTAATTAAAAAAAACTTGACAAAGAGTCTACCCTTTCCCAACTGTATGCAAAATAATGAAACATGGGTATTACTTTGCTGATGTCTTAGCTAGATGTGGGCTGCAATGGGTACACATTACATATGTTGCCTTGCACTGCTTTACAGTTGCTTATATGTGTTTTTAACTTTTATATCCTCAGCTCAAATAAGTTTATATTTAACCACGTGAGGAAGAAGAGCAGAAAGAGGACCATTGATGCCATGTGAATGGACCAAAGTCCGATGAAAAAAGGTATGTATATAAATGTTTTGTTTAAAAAGGGGGATGATTTAGTCCTTAACCTCAAAAACAAATAAAATATATACAAAACCACTAGACTTTCCCTTTAAATGTCAAGGTCCACAAAGAGGGCTGTAAAAAATTCCAGGTGCCAAGTTATGATACATGCCTCCTCAACAGACTAAGACCCCGTTCACATTGAGTGATTTATGGCGCGGTAATTCCCGCGATATCGCCCTCCAATGCAATCCAATGGGGCAAAGGGTCCTGCTGTCGCGGGTCGTGTGTCGCTACAGCAGGACCCTTTTTGGAGCGGATTTAGCCGCGATTCAAGCTTGCTCAATGCAAGCTTTAACTCGACATCGCGCTGCAAATGTCGCGCAGTATGCAAATCGCGCGACAAACGCGCAATTTGCATATCGCGCAGTGGGAACGGGGCCTAAGGGAAACAGTGAAAGGGAAAAAACAGAGTTTTTCCTTGGTTGAAAAGGTGCAAATTGTTTCATAGTGGAGTGACATGGAAAGCTGAAGAGTGGCAAAACCATTAAAGCCAGCAACAGTGTAGTTTGTACTGAAGTCTTTATCTCTAATATGAAATATCAGCTGTTCTATCTTGCACTTTCCTTGTGAGTCTAGACAACCCTTTATAGCATCAGTAATAGTTATACACCACCAGTGTGATCCTAATATAAAAGCCCAATTCATTCTAGTTATAATCTTTTTTCCCAGGTACTTTGTTTTCACCTTCAAGAATGATAGCTATGATAGAAATGTATATGTGTCTCTCCTGAAAATGTGCAAGTTTCAAACTCCCTGTTCTCTTGGAAATTAGTGTAGTCAGCTAAAACAAGCTGTCAGGTAGGGCCAGCTGTGTCCACAAACTATGAAATACACTACCCATATTAACAATTGCCACCGCAGAAAGAGCACTATGCTAATAATGACCACCAGGAGATATACAATCTTTTAGATTGTAGGCCCTCCTTACCATCTTGTCTTGAATTGTATTGTAATTGTAATGTCATGTCCTTAAATTGTAAAGCATTGCGCAACTGTTGGCGCTATATAAATCCTCTATAATAATAATAATAATATACAGAAATTCAGCAGCTCAACACAATCACATTACAGGTGCAATTACGGAAAGCAGTATAAATACCTGAAGAGATGACAACATAAGTTGTAAAACTTGTGTGTGCTTGGAAAAAATGGGGGCTGCTTTGGGGAGGGGGGCAAGAATTGGTTGCAGGGGTGCAAGAAATTGGTTAAGAGACAACAGAGACTGGCTGGCTACTAATGCACATGCACTTGAAACTTCTGAGGTGTTAAGTGTTAGTGTGTATTTCTGTAGGGACTGATCACCAAGAGGTTAATGCACATACACTGGAGACTGCTCACAGAGGGTCAATACGCATATACTAGATTGCAGTTACTGAAGGGTTAACACCCATACACTGGAAGCTAATCACTAGGTAGTAAGTGCACATATTTTAAAGCATAGACTGGTTACTGAGCGGTTATTGCTAATATTGTAGAGGCTGGTCACTGAGGCATTAATGGCAATGCACTGGAGACTGGGCACTGAGGGGTTAATCACATACACTGGAGTTGATCACTGAGAGGTTATTGCACATAGACTGGTTACTGATGAAGTTAATGGACCTACATGGCTAGTGAGCTCTGTAATGGAGAGGCCATCTCATATCCAGCATTGTTATTGGGAAGTGAGATGTATTTTCTGGGGGCAGGATACTTGGGAAAGACCAATCTCACTGGTGGAGCTCTGTTCAAATAAATACACAAACGAAGGCTAAGACCTTCCACAGAGAAGCAGGAAACTGCTATACAGTGGTAAGTCTATAACTAAGATAAATATGTGGCCCACAAACCTACTAGACCCCATTATACAATGTACGCATTCCAAATAAATGTTTGTTAATTATGTCCTAGATGGTCATATCGTTTAAGAGGCTTTTTTTTTTTTCTTCAAAACCGCTAGTGGCCAATTTCGTGAGACATCTTTATTTATTGTATTCTAAAAATTGTATATAGCAAATGTTTTAGAAACACACATGTACATTCCAAAATATCGTTCCTTACCAGTGACTGCAAGATGGCATGATTGGTGGCATTCATACAGGAGTCAAGTGGAAATGAGCATTCTCCTTCACAATAAAATGCTGAGTACCCCTGTGGAGCAATTACCCAGTCCTAGAAAAGCATAGATGTGTCATGATTATTCAATGCTGTTAGGTACTGTTTGATTTTTGGCAATCGAGCAAAAGACAAAACGAATGGCTTTAGAGATTAACAAGACAGGAGTGGTTCTAATAGAAATATGCGAGGGAGTGTTGGATGAACGGATGATCCGACACTCTCGGCGCAGAGATGGGGGGCCCGCTGGCCGCTGGGTACCGATCCGGCGCTGGGCCCCCTAGAGCCCCAAGGCCCTGGTGCGTCCGCACCGCCTGCACCGGCGGTAGTTCCGCCACTGCGAGAGCCCCCTAGTCCCTCTCTTCACACTGTTGCAAAAGCACCACCCACAACTCCCTACTCCAGCCAACCTATGCCAACATCTAAAATTGCATCATACTAATTACATATCTCCCACTCCAATACATTGGAATTATCTATATATACAGTGCATCCGTTCTATCCAGAATAGCAACCTAATCTCAGTACTGCCAAAGTAAAACACTGAAAACCCAGATACACAAGGCTTTTCAATCTTCTTTTTAGCTCTGAACTATTTATGCTAGCACCACCTGCTTGGCTATAGGTTCCATTAATAAAACAGTTATTACTTACACTAACAATGTTTTCACCCAAAAGGGATATTTTAGTTTTTGGTAGATGCCAGAGAACTAACCTCCTGACAATTTCTTAAGTGGGCATACATCAGTGAAGAGATTTCTGTGGTTTAGTTCCCTGGCCTGGACATCTAGCAGAGTGATTATGAGTGGGTCCCACTCTGCCTGATGGATTTTTAAAAATTGATATTATATCATGCAGAATGCAGCTGAAGACATGGGAATATCTAATGAGTATGAGTACCTGAATTTCCAAACTGCGCAGAAAAAGAGCCATAGATTATGGCAGGTGTGGGAGGGTCTCTACAGAAGTCCAGAAGAGATATAAAATGCCATTGGAAATTTCAGCCCATTAGACCTAAAACTGAAAAAGTACTTGGTGGGCTGATCCTTTACTGCTGTTTTTAGTAGGCTAAAATCCTATATAAAACAATATTTATCTTTAGGGCACTAAGGCTACAGCAACTTCTGAGAAATTAAATTACTTGTTGGCAGTCACCATATTTGCAGCACATTTGTCAGCAAGCAGTTCATTTTCTCAGGAAATCACCCATGTTGTCCAAGCCTAAGTGATAAGGTGCACCTAGCCTCCGTTATATACGAGAAACAGGAAAACCATTACCAGTGTATTTCCCTGGTGATCCAGGTAGCAGTACAAATAAAAAACATTTCTATCTTCCTTAGAAAAAAAACAGCAATGGGCTCCACTGACACTTCAATTTCTCCCACATAAAATTAGAGGAAATGGTAGATGGTGTGGACATGTCATCTTTAATTTGTCCTAAATTGTCCTATCTGAGGCAGCACCTCAAGAGCAATCATAAAGCAGGCTGTTGTTTACTCTGCTCTAACTGCAAAGTCACAAACGATCCTAATAACATTTTATGTGAATAGAAGGTGACTGAACTAACTATTACACCTCACTTGGATCTCTATTTGTAATAATATGCATTGCTTATGCATACAACGGCTCCTTATTGAAGCTAAATCTGCCCCTATATTGCCTGTTTATAATAGGTGATGTTGGTCAATGTATAGACATCATCAGGCTAGCAAAATACTGTGTAATCTAGCCACTTAATATGACTTGTGTGCAAGTTAGGATGAACTAAATCTGTAAGATCTAGTCATCCTCCACATCTACTTCATTTCTTACTTGGGCCACAAACTAATAAAGATGGTCATAGGTTGACCACACAAATGTGGCCAAATGTTCAACTTGCCAGTTCCATACCCAAGATGAAGTTGATTGGGCAGGACAGTAATTTCTGCCTTATGCAAGGTACACTTGTTTGACCAAATTATCTATTAAAACCTAAGAAAGGAAGTGGTAAAAGCAAGCTGCGTGCTTCGCCATACCCTGTTGAAGTCGTGGATTTGCCAGACGAAACACGTTGGCAGTTGATCTGCATTCTGTGTCGCTCACTCTCTCCATACCTCCCATATACAGGTGGGCGTGCGAGGCTATGGAGGTTAAACGCCCCTGATATACTGGACAACCTGGAGGCAGTGTGATGACAGATACTATTATTGCAGACAGAGGGGGTTCTGTTTATGACATGATATCTCCTTTGAAATGAGTGAGCATTAACCGCACTTAACACTGTTTACATTGCACCACAGCAGCCTCGATAGATCAGAGATCCAGGGACCTCGATCTACGCGAGTAACCTGATATAAGGAATCAGTATGCTAGTGGGCTTGCAAATTGTTGCTATCATTTGAAGTGGTGTTTGCCACTACATGCAAGATAAGGTAAACTCTATGAGAAGACAAGACTACCTATGTCTGCAATATAGGAACTTCTTTATTGATAATTAACCATCTTGACAGTGGCTGCAAATGTAACTGTATCAGGTACATAAAGTATCCAATAGCAAAGTTACAGAGCAGCCTGTACCAATTTACAGAGACGATTTTCTACAATTCTGCCTTTATGCTCATACAGTATCCCGGTTTCAGAGCTTGTACTGATGGTTTACAGAGTGTGACTTGGAGTGGATTTGTACACACAAACATGTCTTAATTTTAAGCATTTGTGAGGGTGATTTGCAAATATGGTTGCTTTAATTTATTATACAAACAAAGATTTTGTGCTAATAAACACACGTTTTATGCAGCCTGCTAAAATTGTTTGCTCTCTTAAAGTAGATGGTATGTAGCATACTAGTCTGATCCTGCACCCTTTTTTTAATTTTCTAGTCTAACCAAATGATCAAATCTGTCAGATAATCTAGCTTTAGGGGACCCATATACTGCACCATTTTTGCAAAAAAACCAAACCTTTTAACAACTGGTAACAACTGTTGGTTATTGTATATGCCCATTTGCAAAAACAAATGTTTACAGCATGTGACTTTTCCAGTAGAAGTAACATCACATGAGTTTATGATAGCAGTGGAAGAGTGGGAAAGTGGAGATAGATGTGAAAGAGGGGGGGGGTGGAGTATTTAAGGGTGTGAAGCAGAAGTCTTTCATACATTACAGCGAGCCATCAAATTAAACCGCATAGAGTAGGCAAGGGAGGTTTTCATAAGAGAGCAACTTACCAGCCAGCCTAAGTCCCGGAAACTGACATACAGCTCATGTCGTTTGCATACTTGTTTGCCATCAGGTACGTGTACATGGTCTGAAATTGCATATTGTACATGATAAGGTATATTGTTTTTTAAATAAATGTAGAAAACAAGATAAAAGTGATGCTGTCACCCAAGAAATAGTGAATGGACTTGCAGAAGATTACTATTTAAAGTAACCTGTTTTTTTGATGGTGAACTAAAAGCATCACCTACTTTAGGCACATCTATCCTAACTCACTTAGCCAACCTATACACCTTTAAGCCCCATTACTGAGTAAGATTCATTCAAACCATATAACTTGGTATAGCAGAATACAGGTGAAACTCGAATAATTAGAATATCGTGCAAAGTTCATTTATTTCACTAATGCAACTTAAAAGGTGAAACTAGTATATGAGATAGACTCATTACATGCAAAGCAAGATAGTTCAAGCCGTGATTTGTCATAATTGTGATGATTATGGCTTACAGCTCATGAAAACCCCAAGAACCCCAAATCCGCAACCTCCAAAAAGTAGATTATTACATGCAATCAATAAAACAAGGATTGTACATAGAACAATATCGGACCTCTGAAAAGTACAAGCATGCATATGTACTCAGTACTTGGTTTGGGCCCCTTTTGCAGCACTTACTGCAATTACTTTTGCACGATATTCTAATTATTCGAGTTTCACCTGTACATCTTATAAAATCTGATACTCTTCCCAAACTTTTATACATATTCAAGACCATGCCCATAATCACTTCAAAAGTGTTTTGCATCCTTATATTGTTCTCCATAAAGTTTATCTGGAGCTTTGGTTTCTCTTGCTTTGATCATAGACTCCTCTGCAAATTTAAATCCACCAGATGCACGGATCTACCAGATTTGAATTATATCACAAAGCCTTGCTTATTGCTTGTCTTCTAGATTGGTTTCCACAACCTACCCTGAAAGCAGGGTCTTTAATAGAACAGTTCCTCTTAATCTGCGGGCTTGCCCCTGGTGTAAGTGACAACTTCCCTCACGCTAGCTACCATACAAACATGGTTCCCATAATCTGTCCACTTTACTTAGCCTTCTCACCCCTCTATTCAACAAATCTTAACTTTTACTCAATCTACTTGGCCTCAAGCCAGGCATTTTGTGAATTCTTTACCAGGCTCATTTCTCTTCCACTTATACTTAGATACACAGCATGACTTACTGTATGTGCCTACAATCATCCTCCTTCTTTATATTACTTCATCAAACAAACACATAGACCATTTGCAGAATTTGAACAACTGTGTTCTCCTCTGGAACCACCTCACCACACATTATCTCTCCTTTATAAGTTGCTTCAGGCAAGATGCGAGGACCACCTTTCTTGATTTACTGAAAAATGGAATCGAGAATTGGGCCACGCTATCTCCTCAGAGGACTAGAATAAAGCCTTTCTGTTCATGCATTAATCCCTTATTTTCCGCTATGCACAGTAAAAAAAAAACTACAAAATACACACCTGGTGGTTCAGAGACTTGGGGGGTGATTTACTAACCTAAACACACGCACGCACTAGGTGCGTGTGATTTTTACACAGCAAAACGTATTTATCAACCAAAAAGTCTCTAAAGCATATTTCCCCTAATGCCATATATGGAAAAATCATGCACATAATGCATATATAATGCTGCTTCACATTTTAGACAAAAATGGTTAGCTCATGCATTTACATTCCTGCATTCATCAACGCAAGCAACACAACATAGAGCTAATTTACACAACATCACCTTGCAAATTCATGCAGGGCTTTGCACAACACACCTGCTGGGTGTGTACACACTACAAAAGTGTCTAGATTCCACCAATAGATCATGCTGGGAGGGAACACACTACAGAGGTGTATACTTGTTCGTGGCGTGTTTATAAGGTTAGTAAATCAACCCCTTGGCCTCACTACACTATATTTTCCTGACAATCCCGGACACAAGCTGAAGATGCTGAGAAGCAAAAGGCAAATATCTCCATATATGGTGGGATTGCCTTTTGATCCAAGCATTTAGGACTAAGGTTTTTGGAGTTCTGACATCTACAATGAAAGCTACAAGGACTCCCTTTCTCCCTCAACCAAACGTGCACTTTTATTTCTTTTTTCAGGTCCCATAGTACTCCAGAACAAGTTCTACTAATATATTTCATTACAGCAGAATGCCAGCTCATCTCTACCTTATGGAAAACAGACATCACACCTCCAAAAACGTTACTTTATCAGTACCGTAATGAAAATAATGTGTATGGAGGAACTCCTAGCTTCTGATAACAATATACATGGGCCTTTCTGAACCCAATGGGCTCTAGCAATACATGTTTTCTAATTCAGGCCTCCCTAAAAACCAGACTCTAACCTGGTCATTCCCTTTGATTATCATTCCATATGTCCTACAATACCACAGTCATATCCCAGATGAGGCTTCCTCTCCCCTCTTTGCCTTCTCTCCCTTCCCTTCTTGCCCTCTTCCCCTACCTCCTCCTACCCTGCTTACATTCGGGGTGTTTTTGCAGCACAGCTCTCAATTTTATGACAGGACCAATGTCATACTCCTATTCCTATACCTCATATTATTTACCTACTGCCACTCGTCTATATGTGATTCAGTAGCTTTCCTCCACATGACTAAATGGTTTATATCACATCCTACGTTTTTCTATTTGTAATCATGAAGCTGTGCTTTGTTTCTGTTCTTACTTATAATCCTTGAAAAGGCAATAAACCATAAAGTAACAGGTTTTTCCCCAGCTGATTAAAGAGCAAGTCCACACAAAACTAATCATGGGAATCCAAACACCCAAAGGTGGGTGTTCACAATGTTGACAGCTATGACAGGGATATCTCAACACTGGAGTCAGTGGGTTATGCCACGTTCCCGAATCTGTAATTGAAATGTAAACTTTGGGTGAACTGACCCTTTCAATCTGTAGTGGAAATATGAGGGTTGCCATTGCTTTAACACTTCCCAGGTCACTGATATGGAACAAATTTGCAAATCAGGAGTTTAGACTTTCCTCTGACTTTCCTCATCTGCATGTTTGTTCCAGGTCAGAAATTAATGATGCAAGAGACAACCCAGCAACTAGTATTTGCAAAGGAAGGTCACCAATGGCATCCTCTGCATGTCCCTCAGTACTGCTTTCCTGTAATATTATAACTTAATACTTTTATTTCCATACGGTATGGCCATTTACAGTAATGATCAGGAGTGTCTTGGAAATAAAAACAATATCAATAGCCTCTAACTCTGCAGCTGCATACATTATCAACATTGGATTTAATAAGAGTGCTTTCTACATTTCTATATTGTTTTATAATACAACACTATTATTGTTTGATATTAAAAAAATTAAATCATTAAGTGCGTGAACCAAAGATCCAAAATTAACTGAACGTAGCATTCAAATATAGTGTCAATAAACTTTAGCTACATAAAAGAAGTTCATACTGAAGTGATATACCACAAATAAACACAGCAATAAAAACTATTTATCAAGTAACACACACCCAGATTACAATGTAAAGATTTTTGTAAACATGTTTTTATACTTGTAAGCATCTTTTGTTTATTTATGTTACTTTTGCCTGGGTTTTGGATGCACAGTTATTTATATTGCTTTAGTTATCAAAACATGCTCCACAGTTTCTCGCTCTAACTCAAGGGCACAATTTATCAAGTTCTATTGAAAAATAAACATCACACTTTTAGGAAAGAGAAACAAAACATTAGAATCTTTCATTTTTGTATGCTGCAAAAAGGGTTTGTGTAGTTTAAAAGAAAGTGTTATCAAAATACATTTTGAAGTACGGTATGTTTAAAACATGTATGGAAGCAGTATGTTTAAAGCCATTAAAACTTACCTCCTGGCAGATCTAAAGATTTTATTACAGTTGGTGTATTCATTTACAAAGCATTACCTACATTTTATATAGAATTAGCATAAACACCTGAATCTATTTCCTGTAGCCCCCTGTACAGCAGCAATGACCCAGAAATAGGAAAGGGAGGGTTAGAAATCTGAGCCCACCAGAGCTCTGTTGCTTTAATTGTGCTGTCTGTGAAGAGTTTAAATATGATAATAGGAGAAGAGAGAAGGGTGGTCACCTCAGTAATCTGCTAGTTTTCCTTTATTGTCTAGTCATTGGCTGGAGGCAGGTTGTTGTAACTGGAGAAAACCAAGGTCACCGACCAGGCTATGCTGTCTGGCAGGGGTGTCAAGCACACAAAACTATCACTGTGATGTATGTTATGGTGGGAGAGCTTTCTACACCCACTACAACAAACTGGGGGTAAGGGTGCTTGGTCTTCTTGGAAGGGGGGAGCCTTGTATTTTCTTACACTAACATTTTACTTTTAGCAAAGCAACAAGAGAAAGCAAAAAAACGGCAGCAGTTGTTTCAGAGTTTCTCTGAAGTCATAAATGAATAGTTAAGCCATGATGGTTCCAATCAACCTAGTTTCAAAACAGACTTATGCTGAGAGTGGATCTGAAGTATTCAGTCCATGGTGACCATATTTTATCAAATGTAATTTGTTTATGGAGGAGAATGTTTGTCCCACATTACCAGGCAAACTTCATTCACATTTTGAGCACTATGTAATGGAAGTCCAGGTAAACAATCCAGGAACTTTCAAGTAAGGGCCAAAGTGTTTAACAGAATCAATATAAAATCACTCATTTGACTGTCATTTTCTTTTTACTGTTATGTTATGTGAAATTTAATGATACAAACATTTTGGTTCCCCTGTATATTTGCATACAGATCTTCACGTTCTGAAGAGAGTCATATAATTCAAGAATCCAGATAATAATAATTGAATGTATGACACTCTGTGGACAGGTCAAGTTTAAGTATATATTCAGGAGAATAAAAAAACAATAACATAAATAAAATAAAATAGCATTCCACTGATTCACTTATTTTCCTAACCAATTTATTCATCATTCATTGTGTATTTTCACAGGTGTGGTTCCCCTTCCCCAGTTCTTACCAAATACACCAGGAAGTTTGTTTGGGTGAGGTAAGTCACTGTGCTTCTTCTGTTGCCTTTTCTTCAGCTGCTTTACTGCCCTTGTAGACCTGATCTGATTCTTATTCGCCTGGAAAAATGTAACCATGAATGGTTGTTTGGATCGTGGTGCACGTCTTCCTAAGATGCCTGCCAGACTTGGATCAATGCTCTGCCCTGTTACAGTAAAAGACATATTTTTTTACCAATATCATCATAGTTACTCTCAATGGTTGCATTGTGGCAGAAATGGCTAGGTAGAAAAGCAAGAAGTTGCACACCGATTATATCAGATTAAACCAGGACATAGTAAACTGTAGCCCAGACTGGGACCACCCCTTTCTAATGTTTTACCCAGTACAGGCTTGATCACAGAGGTCTCTTTCTTTTAGCTTTAAAGACAGAGATACAGGCATTACAATAATTTTATAATCAATAAACTTGAGATTGTCTATACATCTTCAGTGTCAATGCCAACGTCTTTTTGAAAGAAAAAAATATTCTTGTGGTTGCATGGTTAGTCTATTGCCATCTATATCAAAAAATAATCTTGTGCTGTGCCAGTTATGTGTTGAGATATAAGGGCTACGTCAGTGCTACAGTTTGAATTTAAAACGTATTTGTGTGAAGTGTGAAGTTAAGTCATGGATTGAACAGAAATATGAACAATTATAAAATACTTTATTATTTCATAATAAAGTAATTATAAAATAATTTCTTTGTGTTTATTTGATTCCTATTCAAAAGAATTACTTTATATATAGTCAATATAGGCACAGAGGTAAAAATGTTTAACATTTTTTAATGGTGGTGTGCCTCGTGATTTTGTTCATGAAAAAAGTGTGCCTTTGCACAAAAAAGGTTGAAAAACACTGTACTAGATAATGATAACAGTTTAAATTGTGGCAAATGCAAGGATGTCTATAACAAAATAAGTGAGCCCACATGATTGGTGCTCACATGACAGCTTACATATCACAGGCCAAATAACCATTGGCGTGGTTGTGTCTTACCCTCATCATTCTCCACATAAAGACGTAGTCCTGAATTATACTTGGCATTAAGCAACCAGTGATTACTAGCAGCTGTGACATCAAAAACCAACCAGCCTTCATCTCCGGTCTGTATGCTTTCATGGTCCAGCAAGGTTAATTCAGGCTGCCTATGGAAGAGAGTGATACTATTAAAATTATAGATATTACGGATTACTCTGTTTTACATATAACAAGCATTGCCAATCGTAAGGTGTATGTATAGCCAAAACCTTTTTGTAGTTTTGGATAGAGCAGGAAGGCTTAGAACACCTGTCAAGTTTGTTTTGCTGTCTGCATCCCAGCCTGGTAGATTCACCCTCTCTATTTGTCCCAGAGACCAGATGGAAAATGCAAAATTTTATAGTTGTCACCTTAACAAGAGATGAGGATACATTTTCCAATGGTGACAATTGTTCCAGTGACAGCTATCTAAGAGGGGAATTCCTCTTTCTCTCTTTGTAGAGATCTTCTTTTACTTCCTGTTAGGACAGAAAGCGAAGGGAAATCCTCCCAATAGGGCTCAGAAAAAAAATAATTAAACTGACAGTGGTTTTAGCTCCTAAAACACTCCATTTAGCTTCGGTGTCATGCAATCTTATAAGGTTCAAGCAGTTTCTAAACTGACAAACTCCTAAAAGGACTACCATAGTTAAGATCACTAAGTTATAAATGACATACCGATTTGCATGGTCTCGGTGAATCTCATAAACACTGATGTGAAGTGTCCTGTTGAAATGCCGTGAGAAGCTACGGGTTTTGAAAAGGCGAAACTCAGCTGCAGTCACAGTTTCTCCAGTAGGAACCTGCGTCATGTCAAACTTGAATTCTTTCCAGTATGGCTTCTGATGGAAGATATCTCTATCATGTTCAACTGTAACAATATAAGGGTATGTATGTATAAATACATCTTGCTCAAATCTGTTCCTCAACTGCTGCCTTCGCTGTATATTTTTCTCTCTGCCAGGTAGGAGCACAGCTGCATAAATAGGAAGCCCTTGCAAAAAACAACAATAATTATCCTACTAGTAACTACCAGCAGTTCTCAAGTACCACCCGTAGGTCAAGTCTGTAAGATTTCCTTTTTAGTAAACATTTATGGTAATTTTTGATCCTTTGACATGATATAGAGGAAATCTTGATGGCATTGCATTTTGGGTTTACTTAAAGAGACGAGACCCTGTCACCTTGCACATTCCCATTCCATCACAAAATACCAGATTAGCTTAGATGGATCAATGAGGTCACCCTTTTTGTCATGTAATAGTATTAGTCCTTATTAGTTGGGTATTTTGAGGTGGCTGTTATGGAAGAAGGAGAAGGAAGCCCTTTAAATGTAAGTATACATGGCTAAGGTGGTAAAGAGACCCTGTTACTTTGCCCTGAATGGGGAAGGTGACAGGTATTCTTTAGGGGTTGTATTGAGAAACACTGGTAAACAAAAAACAAGCATGGGCAGTGATCCATGAGGAGTTAGAAATTCTTTTAACAGCAGTAATCATCAAGCTACCTATGAAGGGTGCAAATCTCAAAATATATTAAAGTTTTAAACTACTAATAAATGTTTCAATTACACTTGCTGGCTTATTATATCCACTGGAGACTCCAGTAGAGAGATCTCTCTCCTTGCATTATAATTTTTTTAAAGCCACTTAATAATTTAAGGTGCTTTTCTTGTGGTATTCACAGGCATCCTGTTACATTGTTCATATACATTAAATTGGAAATCTGACAGGAGGAGTAGCTCTGCTTCAGCAGGTGTGCATACCTTGGATCTCACTACAAATCTTCTTCAGAGCTATTGGGGAAATCATTGGGTGAACCATCAATCAAACTCGTCACACTGGAATTAACAAAAAGAATAACATTCATGCTTTTGTACTAAGTTAATACCTGCAATGCTATAAGTGAAACTCCCTCTATAATTGATCAGAATAATATTAGAATCTCATATACTCCAATGTGCCAGAGCATACTATTTAATGTTAATCACTCCAAACAGTCACACATCCAAGTGTCATAAGTCTACATTCATATGTAGTTATATATAAAGTCAATCAAAAACTATATAAATGGGGATTCCCTATGTGGTATTCCAATAGTAACCCACGTTTGCAACTTTGCAGACTGATTAATGTGTCCTGCATACATTCTGTGGGCTTGTGAACTAGTAGCATGCGGTAAGAAGATGTTGAAAGTTTCAAAAATATTATTCTACCCAACATTGTAGAACACACCACTAAACACAATTTGTATCTAAAATAGGTAACTGTAGTATCATCTTAGAAACCCGACTATCTTTGCAGTAAAAACATGTTTATTCTTCATGATGTCCCCATGCAGAAGGATAAGTCTGAAACAAGAACGAAAACTCAGGTCTCATTATTCAGTTAACTCAGGTTTCTGGGAGATTTTAAGGATCCCAAATCTCAAGAGAATTCCCTCAAGATTTTGGATCCACAATTTTCCCTGGATCCTGTAATAAGTGATTGTCTGCAATGCTTTAACGAGACTCCCTCTATAACTGATGAGAATAATATTAGAATCCCATATATTTCAATGTGCCAGAATAAACAAACACCCACTGCTGCTGTCAATCAGCAGAGGGGACCTGCAGTTCTCCATCAGAACTTGCAAATTGAAATAGCCAATAGGAATCAAGCAATGCATTCCTATGGCAAATTTTTTTTTATTTATTTTTTGACTGCAGCAGAACCGCCGGCCAATAGAAAACATTTGGAACGGAGCTAGCTGTCACTGCTAGCTCCGCACAATCGTTTTCTGTTTACTTTTTTTGTGCTTTTTTAAAACTATTTTTCTGTTCTGCTCGGTCCCACAGAGGGACCTAGCAGAACAGACGAGGCGAATGCCGCTCATCGGCATTCGGCTATTTACTCACTGCTGTTCGGCATCTATAAGAATAGACCGAACAGCAGCGAGTAGCCTGCCGGAGGTTCGGCTTAGCCGATCCAGATGTTGGATCGGCTGAGTCAAACTCCTTCTGCACTTTAGGTCGGCCGAACATGCTGTGCATGTTCGGCCGACCCGAAGCCACCCGATGTACGGCTGATTTCAGCCGATTTACTGCTGAAATCAGCCGTACCCAGCCTGAAGTGAATAGCCGAACAGCGGTCGGCTCACTTCGCTTCAGGTCGGTCATTCACTTGGCTGCCTACGGCAGCTTAGTGAATAGACCCCATAGTGTTAATCCCACCAAACAGTCACACATCCAAGTATCATAAATCTCTGCCATCAATGAATTAATGTCCATGATATTGTCTTGAATCCAGTTAATATTCTCTGGGCTGTGCTCCCTGCGAAATACTTCAGTGTTCACCAAGATCCTCAAATTAGACATAAATTTAACCATTTAGATTTTCTTTAATCTAAATTAATCAAGTATCAAGTGTGTCATCTGTCTTCCTTGCTAACAGTTTGTGTCTAGCAATCATCTCTCCTTAATAAATTAAATTCTGTCTACAGAAAAGAAACGGCTTTGCAGACACGTAATACACCAGGCCTCGCCTCTTGCTTTCTTCCCTTATTTATCCCGCAGGTAATACACCTCGATAAGAGATTCAAATGCAGAAAACCTTATAGCATAACTTGATTTACTTAAAAGCCAATTCAAAAGCAAGTGCAATCATCCAACTCGCATTTACCAAGTGCCCATGGCACTATAGACACAAACCTCCTCTGCAGCTGGTGCCGCCTAATGTGCTTCATCTTTCCAAGACTTGATCCTGTGAGAGGGGATTTTAGGTGAAGAGGCTGGAAGATGGGATCCAAGGTAAGAATGTTTTTCTTTTTTTGGAGGAGGGATAGCTGCTTTTTTAGCTTTGGCCTAGCAATTTAGGATGGGGGGTGGCTACAGTGTAAAGTGTAAGGGTTAAGCTGGATATACACTTGTAGATTTTCTTATGAACGTTCATGCAAAAAAATCTCATCAGAACATTCAATAATGCCCTCAGAGACTTGACAACAGTGGTTTGACATTGCATGTGATTTTAAAATTTGATCTTGGAATGAATTGAGTTTCCTGAACAAAAACCACATTCACTGTTAAAATGTTTTATCCTATTCCTTCAAATTGTTGCACTCCATCGTCAAATTAACCTCATTATCAATTAGAGATTCAAACGAATGTTCTGAAAAAATGTCTCTAGCAAAATTCTAACCATGTACTGTATACCCAGCTTTAGTTGTTGCGGGCTGCAGGTCCGTTTTAAACAATGTAAGTTACCAATGGTTTTTTTTATGAGTAATATCCAGGTTTTCAGGAGCAAGGAAGGAGGTACAAGTAAAAACTGGCTGTACTTCACTAGCATCTAATTTTACAACAATGTAGCACCTTTTAAAAGGAGATCTTTTTTAACCACCAAGTTTTATGCCTGCAGTGTGTGGTTTTCAGCTACTGCTTTTAAAAAAAATATTCTTGTATGAAGTGGTGCCGTGCAACACACCACTTATAAAGCAGAGGCAGGCAAGAAACATAACACAGACCATTCTTTGTATTGGAGAAATGAGCTTGTGTAGTGAATAGAGGGGCAGGAAACAAGAACAGGATTTAGCCCAGCTTAACCTCTAAACCGAGGATGGGGGGTCTTCTCTCTGACAATTCTCCCCTGTTATATACCGTATATGATTTATAACAAATATTTTCTATCTTCTATATCATATCTCCAAATAAATATGAATTCTGTACAACTGTCACTTGTTGAATATATATCTTTGGATCTGATTTACTAAAGTGTGAGACAAGGTGAAATGCTGTGAAGAGGACACAAACATTCTATCATGTACTGAGGCCTGTAAGAAATTCAGTTTCTCCAGGCCATGATAGGATTACTGAAGTGAACATGAGTTTACTTCATCTAACTTTGGTAAGTGAGGCCAATAACCCTTGACTGTATTGCACTAAAGTATAGTAACTTAGATTCCATACTGGCTTTAGTACTGTGTTGGGGTGTGTGTATGGGTGTTGTGTCTTGATTTAATTTGCATTGCATGAATGCGCCACAACTCAGCTAAAATTTGACCCATTTTTTCTAATTCAGCATACCACAATGCACAGAATACAGGGTTCTTTTGTAAAGGTCCCTGTCATGGTGCGGCCATAAAAATATCATATCTTGTGGCCTCTTGTCATAAGACATCCTTAGGCAATGAATTTATTTTACTGAATGCAGTCGAGAAGAAAACAAAATTGACATAAACTTGTTAGCTAGAGGCTGTTAATTAAATCAAACGTGGGTTTGTTGTGCTCCCCCAGCAGGCAACCATTTAGCAATATATACCCCTATTGGCGGTTCGAGACACAGTGTCTCCTGGTTTGTTTGTCACTAGACTGGAAAAAGTGTCACCTCACCTTGTGTGTATTTCAATGTTCAAAATGCTTAAAAAAGGTCATATCTCATAACTCCTATCCCATACATCATATGATCGTAGAACCTTCAGGTAATGAACGGTACAAAGGTGAACTCACTGATACTAAACATCAGTGTTTTATAATACAGTATGGTGGAGTTCTGATAATTGGGTCTCTTTGCGGTATTTCTGGTTCTGTTAGCTGTAGAGTGCCGGAGTTTGGAAGCTGCGGATAGCAGAACAATAATTGAAATTAGAACCGTCAATTTGGATCCGTAATTCATAACTAGAAACAGTTATGAGGGTTCCAAGATGATCATTAGAACAACGATACCATTATGTTAATATTCCATCTCCAGCCCCCTCCATCTGATTGACTGATCTCAGGGGGTGGAAACTGGTTTTGATCTTCCTAGTATAATAATGGAGATCTGAAACCAAAAAAATTGTCAATTAATAAGCTGGGTTTTGAGTGCTCTGAAAGAACGCACAAATCTGAAGAGACTG